TCAGCAGGATCTTAGTTTCCTTATGTCTTTCTTGAGAATCTAGTCACCATGATTTAGGAAAGCCTTTTAGGTTTCTGTTCAACTTGTGCTGCAAAAAAACCCACTAAAACATCTTCTCTTAAAAAGACTCTCTGTGCTCAATACATAGTGTTTGGCGAAATGCCAGGGAATGTTCCAGGGTTTGTGTAGCTTGATATAATTCCTTGAACATTTAGGCAATTGAGAATAGGTCATATATTTACCTTTTAATTCTCTCTTACGTTCACACAAACTAGGAATTGTCTCACAGCCTTAACTGACAAGGCTCCAGTCATCTCCTTCTATGCCTTATCTAATTGTCTCCTCAAGGACTCTGAGTGTTTTGCAAACTCCATCACATGCTGTGTTAATCTTTGTCCTCTCCTATGTAAGAAGTAATAAAATATGTACAAAAGAAACACTGCCATATTGCTTACATAACCAGCACAGCTCACATTTGGAGTACAAACAAAACCTTTGGTGAGGAGAGATTGTCAAGGAATTTTTAACAATATGTATGAAAAATGTATTATTCTGAAGGATATTGTATATGTAAAGAGAGAGCTTGAAAAGATTGAGTGAATTATTTGCTGTGAATTATTTTCCCAGCTGAATGCTTACAACACACTGACTTCCCTGGTGTTGCTGTCAGTATTCCACTTTTGCTTAAGCAGCAGATAATTCTGGATAACTGGAAAAAAAGATGAGGGCATGCTTAAAGCACTTTAAAAAATTATCTGCTTTATAGAGTAAGTCTTAATATCTAAAAACACGGCTTTATTCTTATTTGGTTACTGTATTTTGAGAAGTTGAAAACTGACTAACATTTTAGAGACTAGACAAAAGAGACTCTAAAGTCTGGTGTTTCAGATTTATTTAGTGGCTCTTATTAATCTTTTGATAAAATAATGGTCTGGAAGGCACTTTTTTCACTGGTGATATGTATTCCAGTTCCTTGCTGTCTTCATAGAAACTAGAGCATTGTCTGTGTGGAAAAGATTTTTGGTCTAACTTTGTCTGTTTTAGAAGGAACTACCTTATGTCCATATACACATAATTTATTTATTTATTATTGCTTTGTCTTGCGTTGTATGCTATTATAATTATTTTTCCTGGCACATGACAAAATTATAATTTAGAATGAGTTATACCCCTGTAACGTTTCTACGTATGCACCCCCATTTCAGAATAATTATGAAATAGTCCTTCAGCTGCTATCCCACACTGCATTGCATCACATCTGCTTTGGCTTTCCTAGTTACCTTTTCTCTCTGCTGCTTAAGGTTTCTGTTGACTTGATATTCCACACTGTGCCCTGCATTTTGAGTAATGTCACGCTCCCAAGCACATCTCTTTGTGATTTCAGCTAATGCCAAGTTCAGACACTCCAAGTGCCATGTAGTCGTTATGTTTAATGCTTCTGCGTGGATTTGTCAGGAGGTCTTGGACTTCCTTGCAATTTTGGGAAAGGAGTGAGTTCAATCTCAACTTCCTGTGGTCACTAAAATGCAAAGATCTACAAGCAACGGGCAGACCAAATGCAGTAGCAGTAGTCACAGTACAATCAAGGAGCTGTAATGGATTTACAAAAACAGTACTACAAAATCAAGACCTTCCAGTACCTGTACAGCCTACAAGGAGCTGGACCAGGTTTTTGCTCTAAAAGCTATCGCATATATCCAAGTGTATATTGGAAAATAAGGCAACAGCCTATGGTGAGTCTTCAGAATCCACACAGTCAGTTATGAACTCCCACACAGGAAGACATACACATGGACAACTAAGATCCCTTGAGCACTCTTTGACCCTAGCTGGTGACTCAGTTGGAAATTATCCACAAGACCCATCTGGAGACATATAGTGACTATGCAGCAGATGGGACAACATTTGTAAGTATGAAGTGCTATACTACAGCAGTCTGTCTCATTAGTATCTGTTAGAAGACTTTCTGCCAGGTACTGTCAATATACTGTCAGCAGTTATGATTAGCAGATATTATCGCAACAGAGGCAGACATATCTGCCTCTATTCAGTGCCTTTAACCTTTCATTGGCTTGGCTATTTTTCCAGCTCCCATGCTGCGTCCATAAGGATACCAAAATTGGAAAATTTGGGGAGTAAAAGTGTATATTTTTTTATACAAAAAAAAAAGAAAGAAAAATTAATCCTGTGCCTATGGACCAAAATGTGAACTTCCTCAGGTCTTATTCTACTTGCTGGGCACATCTACACATGTGCATTTACTGTGTAGTGACCAAAATTACTGTGCAGTACGGGCATAAATCTACATGTGCATGCACGTACTGCGCAGTAAATATGGTGACATACTCTAGCTTGATTTATGCTGCTAATTTACGCCCAATTAGTTATTGCACAGTAACATTGTGCCTTACTGCGCAGTAACATTGTGTGTGTGGACTGATTTGGGACTAATTTTTGTTTGCTCAAAAAATTGTTGCACTGTACTTATATGTCTCATCTTAATGATATCTTGTAGTCTGTTGAGGACAAAGGAGACAAAGAACTCTTTCACTGTTCCCACCGTAGAATATTGGAAGTGCCTGTGGTGTCCCATTCAGACAAGATAGAGCTACAATGCCATTTACACACTTAAACCTAGTATCTGCACAAATCTGTTAACTTTGTACTTTCATAGTTCCTTCAGTTTTAATTGTGTTTCAGTTTGCACTATTTTGTTGCACATAAACTCTGCCATTTAAAAAAAAACGTGGATTTGATTAAGAACAGCTGTCTTTAATAAGTAGGGACCTACCAAAATCACAATTTTTGTGGAAGCTGTGATTTCAGGTGTGCTCTGTGCTTTAGGTGGTCTCCCTAAAAAAAAAAAAAAAACAACCCAAAACCCCCCCCCAAAACCCCTGCTGAAAATAAAATGCTGGCTCCCTCTAGGGAGCCAACAGTCCTCATGGCCACTGTGGCTGGGCCACGCAACCTGCTGAGAGTGGAAGGGGTGAGGAGGACTGCCAGTACAGCAAGATGGCTGCTATCCCTCGCCACTGATTGACTGCAAGATCTATCCATCATATGGCCCCACCCATCTTCACCAATCAGTCGTGAGGGATGGAGCCGCATAACAGACTGCCCTCGCAGCCAGTCAGCAGTGACAGGCAAAGCCACTGGAGCCCCTCGACCAGTCAGAGGGTTAAGGGGGCCTGGCATGCTCCGCCCACAAAAATAGCTGCCTACCCCATGATCTTCCTGTGAAATAGGCTGACAGCATCCTCAAGTTCAATAAATCCCTATTAAAATGTTGTCTTAAAGTCAGTCTATAAAGTGCATGCATTATGATGTATTTATTTAATCTATTCAGTTTCATTCATGAATTAATTTACTCAATTTCATTCAAATGTATTCATAAGGTACATGCATTGCAATGTTTTTAATTTATTCAAAATCATGAATAAGCATGGCAGGTTTCTATACAATGATGATGGCCAGATGCTCTTCTCCAGTCCGAAGAACTCTCAAGTTGGTAATACAGCTTTGCAGTTCTGGAGTGAGCTTTATACGGATTTAAGGAAAGAGGAGAGGGTTTCTGCATGCTGAAGTCCTGCAGTCGCTGATGCTCATGCCAGATTTGAAGCCTTAACAATCACTCTGTTGGCTAGGCTTGCAATCAGTGCTCCATTAAGTAAAACCTGTTTGGTATTATGTCTGTAGCGGGTTTGGGGTTTATCCCATTTCTCTCAGGTTTCTCCCAATCTTTAAATCATACACATCTTTATCTTCTGGGCCCACCGGACCCTCCGGAGTCCTCTTAATCACCAATTATTTCTTATTATTAAACCTTACCATAGTCCATAAAGGATTAACCCTTCCCTCCCCTTGTGGTCTCTTAGACCTGAAGAGAGACTTGGCTGATGCCTGATACCTTCAGCCTCTCTCCCGTGCTTCCTCTTCCTGCCCATT